GACCGAAGACCCCCATTTACACGTCCCAAGACCGAGGCCCCCCATTTACGCGTCACATGACCGAGGACCCCCATTTACGCGTCACATGACCGAGGACCCCCATTTACACGTCACATGACCGAGAACCCCCGAAACGTATCCGAGCAACAACACACAAATATCATTTCATCGATTCCCCAAAGATTGAATTGTTTATATACATCTCGGGGGAGGGGCAGCTCACAACTATGAGGGGCGGGGGAAGAAGGATCAGAACAGGCCCCTCCCCCATTGATCAGTTACCCCTCCCCCCATTGATCCAATACATTGAATTTGAGACGAGGGAATCTATAAATATCTCTTTATAAATACACAGTATACGTAGTATGTACAAGGGGGAGGAGCCAGGCTGCCCAATGGTCATGTGACCGCTCCTTCCCAATTTGTCCATGTGACTGTTACTTCCAACCCCCGAAGTCCGGCTTCAGCATGTGACCCATCAGCGGAGCCGGGATCAATCTTTGGACGACTTTCCTCGTAAAGTTTTGTAAAGGCCCAAAAAATTCTGCAACTTGAGACGTTTGAGCCGTACAATCCCTCTGGAGTCCCCTCCCCCCCCCGCTGATCAGACACGAGGGGCATTACTGGAGGGGCATTACACGAGGGGCATTACTGGAGGAGCATTACTGGAGGAGCATTACTGGAGGAGCATTACTGGAGGAGCATTACTGGAGGAGCATTACTGGAGGAGCATTACTGGAGGAGCATTACTGGAGGAGCATTACACGAGGGGCATTACTGGAGGAGCATTACACGAGGGGCATTACTGGAGGAGCATTACTGGAGGAGCATTACACGAGGGGCATTACACGAGGGGCATTACTGGAGGAGCATTACACGAGGGGCATTACTGGAGGAGCATTACTGGAGGAGCATTACACGAGGGGCATTACACGAGGGGCATTACTGGAGGAGCATTACACGAGGGGCATTACTGGAGGAGCATTACTGGAGGAGCATTACACGAGGGGCATTACTGGAGGAGCATTACTGGAGGAGCATTACACGAGGGGCATTACTGGAGGGGCATTACTGGAGGGGCATTACACGAGGGGCATTACACGAGGGGCATTACTGGAGGAGCATTACTGGAGGAGCATTACACGAGGGGCATTACACGAGGGGCATTACTGGAGGAGCATTACACGAGGGGCATTACTGGAGGAGCATTACTGGAGGAGCATTACACGAGGGGCATTACTGGAGGAGCATTACTGGAGGAGCATTACACGAGGGGCATTACTGGAGGGGCATTACTGGAGGAGCATTACACGAGGGGCATTACTGGAGGAGCATTACTGGAGGAGCATTACACGAGGGGCATTACTGGAGGAGCATTACTGGAGGAGCATTACACGAGGGGCATTACTGGAGGGGCATTACTGGAGGGGCATTACTGGAGGAGCATTACTGGAGGAGCATTACACGAGGGGCATTACTGGAGGAGCATTACAGGAGGAGCATTACACGAGGGGCATTACTGGAGGAGCATTACACGAGGGGCATTACTGGAGGAGCATTACTGGAGGGGCATTACACGAGGGGCATTACTGGAGGGGCATTACTGGAGGAGCATTACACGAGGGGCATTACTGGAGGAGCATTACTGGAGGGGCATTACACGAGGAGCATTACACGAGGGGCATTACACGAGGGGCATTACTGGAGGAGCATTACACGAGGGGCATTACACGAGGAGCATTACTGGAGGGGCATTACTGGAGGAGCATTACACGAGGGGCATTACACGAGGGGCATTACACGAGGGGCATTACTGGAGGGGCATTACACGAGGAGCATTACTGGAGGGGCATTACACGAGGGGCATTACTGGAGGGGCATTACTGGAGGAGCAGAGGCAGCTGGGAAGTGTCCGTGACGCTCTCTAGGTCCTCCACCATCTGTATGACGCCTCGGATCTGGTCATCCTGAAGGACGTTGCTGGTGTTGCTGATAAATTTCTTCAGTAGGGACTCTCTGGTCAGCGGCTTCCTCCAGTGGCCGTAGAAAGTGTCACATTTGCCCCCCATGGCTCCCCCGTTCCTCAGCAGCAGGGCCACCTCAGCGTACATCTTGTCAAAGTTGGCCTCGTTGTCCCCGGGATGCTCCACCACCACCTTGCTCAGGAGATGCCGGAGGTCTTTGCGGAACATGTTGTCATGGTGGAAGGAGGCGACGTTGACTTGGCCGTCCAGGAGGGCCGTGCAGGCGCTGAACTGGAAGGAGTGCCGGGCCTGGTGCTCGGAGTCGGGGGAAGGCCTGTTTATGTATTTGGAAATGGGGACTCTGAGGACCACGGACTGGATGGCTGACGGGTCCAAAGAGCCGTATTGCTCCATAAATCGATTTCTGACGGAAATGGCGGCGTCGGCCACCCAATGCATCCCCAGGTGGGCCGGGAAGGACTTGAACGCGACGTCTTGCTGGGCTAGAAGGAACTCGTAGTGCTTACCGGGCAATGCCAGGGGCTTGGGTTGGTAGTCACCATAAAACGCACTGAAGCCGGCGCAGCCGGGGACATCGTCCAGTATGAGGGCATTGGCCTCCATCCCTTTAGCGGCCAGAATGGCGGCTTCCATGCCCAGCCTGGTGGCATTGCCAATGTGCAAGGGCTTGGCCAGCGTGGCGGCGTTGGCCATTGGGGCACCAGCAAGAGAGGCGGCGATGGCCAGGGCGTGCATGCATTGTTCCTTATCTAAGGCGAGGAGCTTGGCAGAGGCGGCGGCACTTCCCATGGTGCCCACAACAGAAGGAGGATGGAATCTGTGACGGGAAAACATTCATTATTAGACATTTGTATCCGTGACTACAACATGAGAAGGGCCGAGGCCTCGATTATCACTTGGGGTATGCGAAGGAAGGTCCTCTGTCCCCCCAACACTGTCCCCTGTGTACAGAGCTCCATACAGACATGGGGGTGACCAGTGTGGTGGAGGAACCCGAGTGTCCTGCACAGAGCCCTGACCTCATCCCTACTGACCACTGACTGTGAGCCCGGGTCTTCTCATCCAACATCACCACCTGACCTCATCCCTACTGAGCACTGACTGTGAGCCCGGGTCCCCTCACCCAACATCAGTACCTGACCTCATCCCTACTGAGCACTGACTGTGAGCCCGGGTCCCCTCACCCAACATCACCACCTGACCTCATCCTTACTGAGCACTGACTATGAGCCCGGGTCTTCTCATCCAACATCACCACCTGACCTCATCCTTACTGAGCACTGACTGTGAGCCCGGGTCCCCTCACCCAACATCAGTACCTGACCTCATCCCTACTGAGCACTGACTGTGAGCCCGGGTCTTCTCATCCACCATCACCACCTGACCTCATCCTTACTGAGCACTGACTATGAGCCCGGGTCTTCTCATCCACCATCACCACCTGACCTCACACATGGGACAAATCCCCACAGACACACTCCTAAATCTTGTGGAAGCCTTCCCAGGAGAGTGGGGGATGGTAGGGCCACAATGGGAGCAGCTCCATATTAATGGCCATGTGGGGCCGGCAACACCGTATTAATGGCCATGTGGGGGGGGGCAGCTCCATATTAATAGCCAGGGGGAGGGCAATGCCATAATAATAGCCAGGGGGAGGGCAATGCCATATTAATAGCCAGGGGGAGGGGCAATGCCATATTAATAGCCAGGGGGAGGGGCAATGCCATATTAATAGCCAGGGGGAGGGCAATGCCATATTAATAGCCAGGGGGAGGGGCAATGCCATATTAATAGCCAGGGGGAGGGGCAATGCCATATTATTGGCCATGGTGGTGGTTTTGGAATGACATGGCCAACAAGCTCATATATGATGTGAGGGGCAGATAAACTTGTGGCCATAGGGGGTAATTTGGTGACTTCCTGTCTGGATTCTAGCAGGATGAGATATTGTCTCGGACAGGGGCGTAACTATAATTATAGCAGCCCAGGCGTCTGCTATGGGGCCCGGGGGGGTGGAAGGGGCCCCATTAGGTTGTTGAGGCAAATGTAACATAGAAGATAATAAGGTATCATTGGCGGTTGGTGACAACTCTCTAATCCTCTCTGTGAAGATGCGCGGGAGGAGTGTTTGGGATCGTAACTCACAGCTCCGAGAAAGGTCATAAGAGGGGCCCCATGATCTGTAGTTAGGGCCCCGGTCTTGGTGTAGGAGCCGGGATATATTTGAATTTGGTAACTCACTTCTTTGGGATGTTCTTGGCCTCCTTGGAGAAGCACATCAGCCTTCCTTGAACCTCGATTCCGACATTGAAAGCGGTGAGAAGTTCCTCCCCGGTGACCCGTCTCTCCCGGCAAAGCATTTGCGTCAGAGCCAGCAGTGCCGGGAGGACGGCGCCGGACGGGTGGGTGGCCGGGTGCCACGTGTCATCAAAGTCCATGGAGTGAACCTGAACCCGGAGAGAGAGAGAGAGAGATGATCAGACACGCGGCCCCGACTTCTGCTCTCCAGACTCATCACAAGGGCCACGTCTACTCACGGCTACTCCGTTGGCGTACGCGGCCAGGGTGGGGGAGAGCTTTAACCCTTTCTGTCCATACACCGAGCAATGGGAGGAGCTTCCGTAACTTGCGAAATGCAGATCCTGAAGAGGAAACAAATGGAAGATCAATATTTATAATGTAGCGCCAATCCCATGAACGCCCCCGGAGCCGCCCGCCATTGCTCT